CCCCCCCTCCCCAAATTCGGGTGGTTATTTGGATGTAGGTTTGACATGGGGCAATAACGTAACCAAACTTCTAAAATGAAACCAAAGCGCACAATGAATTTTTATGCCGATATATACTTAGATTTATGACATGGAAGAATGCCTTTTTACTCCTACACTACCTCCATTACTCATGTCGCGGGTCGGGTAGTGAAGAGGTCAACGTATGAACAACCTGTGCATACAGCTGTGAAAAGGGAAACAGGCTAAGAATATCAAACAAATCACGAGACAAAGCTAAGTGGATCACACAGTGAACTACATAGAGACGATCATAATGTTTCAAAAACGAAAAATATTTTGTAGTGATTACATCATTTTTATTTCTTTTCACCAAAAATACAAATCATAACATGCTTTCTAAGTCACACCATTCAGATAGCTCGATACATTGCATTCCTCTCTTGTAATGTTTATGAAACAAGTAGGATACTCCCATTCTTCAAACTTTTTCGACACAAAATGATAGTGTACTTGACCCTCCTCTCATTCGTAACCTTCAAAGCCATTAAGCAAAATTTAATACTTTAATAGATTGAAGAGACTTTGAGGACAAAATTACGGCAAAGTGACAAATGGGTCTAATATAGAACTGATAGCTTATTGTTATTTAAACTGAAATGCGTATGGTGTATTAGAAAACTGTCAATTCTCCAACTTGATGAAACTTTTAAAACATGAAAATGATATATGAATGGACAGATATTATGTAAAATTACTCTCGGAATTATCGCTATTGAGGATTTTTGCTTCCATTATTATTGTTTTCCCCCTGGTCCATTCTCTGCTGAATAAACGTCAGAATTTTTACGCAGAGAAGCCTTGTTTATTTTACCGATGTGGCTGAAAATTGTATCAAATGACATAGGAAACAATCTCAGCGTTGGCAAAAAGTTATGGACCTCTCTGCTCATTGCAAGAATAACATAATTGAAGACCCGTTTTCCAAAACTCTGCAGGTCAGTTTTGACGAGCGCCTGATTTCACCACAATGCTACACACTTACATAATAGACACGTATGTGTAAAGCGTCGTGATGAAATCAGGCGCTCGTCAAAACTGACTTACAAAGATTTGGGAAAACAATCTTCAATTTGACAAAATATCATTCTGATTATTACGCATACACAGTCTGGTGACTCCTCGTCACAGAAAACTCAGAACACCAAGCAAAAGAAATCACGTCGTGTCTGATAGACTAGTTGCCATTACTTCACTACCCAAAACGCAGCACGGTCGAAACACAAACATCCAGAGCAATCTGGTTGGATTGTTCTTCGCCGTTGTGCAAGCAAGATCGGACATGCGTGCACGCCGTAATAATATTAACGTGGCATGTTATGCGTCTATTCTGTGGCTTGGTCGTGCTAGTTCATTATTTATCTGTTCAACTTTCCAATTTAGCTATTTTGATCCTAAAAAACTGTCGTCATAATCATTCTGATACTTCACTTCCTCCCTACAACAACTCAGCAGCAGTTGCAGCAAGAGCAGCAGGAGCAGCAGCAGGAGCAGCCAATGAAAAAAAATAATATTTTATCAACTTCAAAGTTTACATTAAGAGGTGAATGCCGTTGACTTTCAAATCCAGCACTTTGACCGTATTGAGGGTAAAATGATAATTAGCACTACAAATAGAAAGGCATTTTTTCTTTCATCAATTTTCAGCGTTTATTCTTGCTAAGCTCTGTTTGTTGCAGGTATTTTTTAGCCCCAATTTAACATTATATAGTATCATTTTCTTCACGGATCCAATCAAGCAGAATCGACTAATCAGACGAGAGTGCGCCCTAACTATACGCCTGAAACTGTCTCACTAGATACAGACCGCTGAGTGTAAGACTCCGTCACATGTCACGTTTCAAAATGGCGTAAGTAAGAGTCTTTCACAAAGCAGACGATATCATTAAGTTCTCGTACTCTCTTCCTCTTCCCACACGCTTCACTTCAATTAAAGTACTTTCGTCCTTGATCAAGCTTTTGTTTCCGCTTGACCCCCCTTTTCCTCCATCCTGAGTTTCGCCTCTCCCTCCAGATCATACCGCACTTGAGGTATGGCGACTACCTCTCCCTCGTTCCCGTCACTCATCGCAGGATTAGAGATGTTCGTCACTTTCTCCACTTTTCCTTCCTTGAACCGGTCCAGCTCCTTAGCACTGTGACGTATGTTCTGGCAGTAGACTACGTCATCAAAACCTGCGCAAACAAGGGATAACGTCAAATATGTTGTTTTGGGTTGTTGGTTTGTTTCATTTCTTTATTAAATTTGTTTTTATACCTTTATATCTCTTTCAGTAGAGCAAAAAGCTGTTTAACTCTCAGTAGTTTGGCCTATTTTGGCCTTTCCATAAAAGTGCCTGTAATAATAAGATAAGGACGGGAAAGAATAATTATCTCTACTATCATGTTTATAAATACGAGAATGTGCAATGATGTACATTAAGAATCTGTTTACACCTGGGGGGTTTTAATGAAAAAAAGAAATGGAATTGTAAAACAAACTCAGAAAATTGGTGGTCTGTCAGGGTATGTAGTCAACAGTCCAGAAGAATGTACTTCGAGTTTGTCATGTCAGAATTACGTAAATTAAGTTGTTGGCTGGACAAGATATACATTAAAAAAACAGGCATACTTTTAAAAGCATACTGACTGTGAACACAATGTGACTTTTGTAATCAAAGATCATATTAGTATGGTGTCACCTGACAGGACTACGAAATTCGAGAACAAGTTATTCTCAAAGAGGAATCACTGTCGAGTGACTTCAAGACAAACATGTAATACTTCAAGATTTCGACAAAGTAAAAAATTATGTTTTGCCCACTCGTCAAGGTCCGACGTTGTGGCCTTGGGAAAAGCACTTTACACGGATTTTCCATTTGGCTTGATTCTTTCGGGGATGGACGTTTAACTCGGAGGTCCTGCCTCTTAAATAACCTAATAGTGTTGATAGGAGCGTTAAACCTATACCATTTCTCCATTTTTCACCACTCATCAATAAACCTCACCGGCAAAATCGACGTGCCAGCGACTGTGCCCGATGTCGTACTCCTCGATCCTCTCAAACCGGTGTCCCCACAGGATCTCTTTTGGGAGGTACGACGTTCTCGCTTGACACTGCTCGCCTTAGAACAAAAACCAAAACGAAACATGTAACATTGAAACAAAAACAAAACATGTCTGTGGTTGTACATACATTATAGTTTATAACATGTCTTTTATCCGAAAAGGCGGGGTAGAAACTTAAGGGAGGGGGAGATAGTAGTTGTAAGGGAGGGCGGCAGCTTAGAAAAGAAACAAAAAGTATCTTTGATGTTGTTCACTATACTGTATTTGCTTTGGCCTTTCATACACCTGTATAGCCATTTAGCAAGTATCAAAAGACCCATGGACTTGTAATTCAATTTGAGAGCATGGTAAAGAATTTTATACTGCTGAAGGAGGTAGAGATGGAATAACATAGGAACCCGGCGGAATATTGAGGCAGCATAACATATAATAGTATAATTGTTACCTGTGGCCTCCACCGTTCCACACAGGAAAAGAACTATCTCAAACTTCTCCGAGCTGAGGTCAGCTGGCCGAATGTCGTAGAGTGGACTGTCCTTGTCGATGATGTGTGTGATGGTGATTGGCCAGAGCAGGAAGATGCGGTCTCCCATCCCGTTGGCGGAGAATTCACAGTTGAACTGGTAAAGGGGGTAGTAGGCACCCTCTTCCGTGGACCGTCGACGGACCACCATGCCGGAGATGGTCGAGTCCACCAGGTGGGACTGTCGCAGATCGCCCAGTCGGATCTGTGGGTGTGACACTGACAGGTCAGGGGCTCAGCGAGGGCCAAGAAAAAGAAAACAAAGAAACAAACAAGCACACAAATAAACAAACAAACAAACAAATTAACAAACAAACACCCGTAAACGCAAAAATGCACAAATATTTGTATTAAAATCTTGAAGTTAAAGTTATGATATGATTAGTTTGCTTTTTTCTTCTTCCATTTCTCATTAACATTTTCCACTTCCCTGTAACATTCAAACAGTGTTGATAGGGGCATGAAACCTATACCATTGCACCATTTCACCATTTTCACATTCAAACAACATTTCACTTCTTCTTTTCCGCTCTAAACAAGCTTAGGTCTTTTTAACACAATAAGGCTGGGACGTACTACTCTCATCTTCAATAACCAGATTGCGCTGGCGTGTCAAGAAGTTAAATTTAACTGGATGTAGTGGCCACGAAGAAAATTAGCACAGTCGAAAGCCGTATCGTAGTGTCATTTCATACCCAAATTCAACTGTAAAGATCAAAATATATTGTAAACGATTTACGAAAGACTCGATTTAAATCCCTTAGTTGGCGGACTGTTTTGATTGAGCCCGTTAGACTAACCTGTGATGTTAAGGGCGCAAATATTATTAGCAGACAGATGCAGATATTCGTTAAAAATATCTTAACCATGCTGGTATCGAGCTCAGGTCCGTTACACGTAACGATAAATAGTACAAAAACTGGACGATATAGCGATCATACGATAAATCGTTAAGTGTAACCACAAAATTGTACAACATTTGGACGATTGAACGATGGTTTGGAGACTCGGTCGAGAAATCAAGCGCTGCTTGATATTTTCCGCGCGATTACGGTCACACTTGGGGGAGACGCGCTGTGACTTTGAAATTTGCCGCAGCAAATAATTATTGTAGGTAAAAACTCATTTCATTTTCGGAATCAGCGTCTCAAAATAAGCAAAGTTGCTCGTGGAGAACCTGAATTGGAGTGTTAATATATATATTTTAGCAATTTTATTATTTAGTTGATCGTCAAGGTTGAAGCTGTGCATCAAAGACACCCGGTGCGTTGCAAATCTCTGCAGTCAAGCGTCCGGTTCTACACACAAGACGGCAGGCCTACAGTATGGCCACCCTTTTCTAAAGACACTGTTCTGCTATATAAAAATGTACAGGGGAAAGGGGGGGGGGGGCTTCTGTGATCTAGAGGTAGTGTTCGCCTTTCATTCATTAGGTCCAGAGATCGAAACCTTCACATAGAGAGCAGGCAAATCGCTGTCGTCGCAAAGAGACATTGTGGCTTTATGACGAGAAGTCTCCTCCATCGATAGAAAACTGGACGATAGATTGGAACGTGTAAACAAACAACACATTTCGATAAAACGGACAGTTCTTTCATACAACGAATCTGATACAATGTATCGTTGCGGGTAACCGGGGCTTTACGCGTGCAACATGTGGTAGCATAAACGTCACATCACAGACTCCAGACAAAATTATATTGAATCTAGCAGGGGTTTTTGTGGGTTTCTTTTGTTTTTTACTATCAGTGTCAAAAACAAATGTCTTAACACACTCGTATATATCAGCTTGTATACAGAGTAACCCGCAGGTGACTTTAATCTTTAAATGCGGTTTGACTTGTAAGGCAATGTGTTTCTTGTCAACCTGTTTTGTGGAGACATGCAATAAATAGTATATACCCTCGTGCGTTAGGTTGGTTATATAATGTCCTTTTGGAGTTACATGAATGCATCACAATGTGTCAAAATGGTTTGAGCGATCATAATGAGCTAAGTACTAAACGAAGTAAACTTCGATGACATTGATTTGAAAAAAAAATATATTAAAGGGGAAACTTAATGACACACACATTACACACAAGTTAAGAAAGATATGAGCAACCGCTTCTTAGGTCAAGGTAAACCATCAAAACGATACCTGTAAGACTAGATTGCCGTTCTCGTGGTTAATGACAGCATGTTTGGAGTAGACAATGGTGTTGGCCCTGTATTTGGGCCGAGCGATCTTTACAAAGATAAAGCCAAGCATGCAGGTTTCCAGGAAAAACCCAAGAACCACCTGAAACAAACAGCAGAGATTTCACAAAGTTATTTACCACAACCAACTAAATGCATTGTATGTATTTTTTTCTGAACTACTTAACCACGTATTCTATTTGGACATTTCAAAGTTGAATAAGAAAGACAAAACAATACTATACTAGCTTCGTTAATAAGACATAAAAAACGATCTCAGTCTGTATCCCTGTCTCTACCCCTCTCCCCCTATCTATCTATCTATCTATTTATCTATCTATCTATCTATCTATCTATCTATCTATCTATCTATCTATCTATCTAT